AATAAAGGGGATGATTATCCTAATCCTATAATGATTAGGATAACTACAACATATGGATAAATACAAGGGAGGATAATGACAAGTCTTGGCCGCCTGGTATGGATAAGGATAAGGTGCTTGTCGCCTGGTCTTGGACTGAAGTGAGACTGATGTGGTCTGGTCCATTTCCGGATATGTCCCAACCATCATTTCTCAACATCCAGTTTGTTTTCGTGAAAAAAATGCACTTGAACCGGTACTTGGGGAAAACTCGCCCAACCTCGGCGACCCATAAAAATTTGAACCGGCCGGTTTTCAATTTGAACAAAATTACATGTCTTACGTGCTATGGAAGCAAGTAGTGCTGTAGTGGACCCGGGTTATACGTCTTCAAGAGTTTAAGTTGTCAAAATGACATTCAGTCTTTGATCCATTCAAAAGCCACTTCTCGTTACTGCCTCCTTGTTGTTACGTCTTCACTGTGTTACAAAGTAACTCGTATGAACGAACGTACACACCAATGTTAGGAATCATTTTGTAAATTTTAGGGGGATTTATATTTTCAGGCGTATTACATTTAGTTGACCGACGAACACGAAAATGGTCCTATGCAATGATTTTAGATAAGTAAAGAGGGGAACAAATTATTTAGTGGGCCGGCCGGTTGATCTAAACAACAGCTTTCTGCCATGGTTTCTCTTTGTAGCCAATGGAAATTAACATTCTCCTTGAAACATAGGATGCGTGTGAATGTTCACGTCATCAAAGTCATATACTATATTCTCATTAGCAATTGGATAAAAAGTCAGCAAAATGATTGAGGATTCAAAAGATCAATCAAAACTTGAGCAATCACGATTTTATCATCTCTTCAATGTAAACAAAAATGACCAACATGAATTCAATATAGGTGCTCCAAGGCTTGGTTTACATAAAAGCCACACGCAAATCATGCCATTCAACCAGTGCAAGTTGGCCTAGTGGTCCTGAGAGAGCATAAAGCCCCAATATCGATACGTGTTGGTCACGGAATGACTTAAACCCCCTAAAAAGTATACATATGCAGGTTGGTTTCGGGCTCAAGAGGATTAGTTGGTTGGCCAAGGCCGCCGGCTCACCTCCTAATTAGTGAAAAAAAATCGTGTGCCATTCGTTACAGAAAAAAAAAAAATCGGAACTCTACCCATTTCTAAAATAAAATTTGCGAGTAAAATGACCATCTTACCCCTTTCTCGTTGCTCCACTGCTTCCCTAAACCCTTAAACCCTAAATTCATCTTTCAGATTAAACCCTACAATGGCCAATTGGAAAGTAGCCACTGCGATACTCCGTCGCCATCTCCGATCCCCACCGCCTACGACGTTCTCCTCCTTCAGAAATCCAACCATAGCCTTCTCTACAACTAATCACCTTCCTAGCTACACAACCCCTCTCGCCAACGACGACGACGACGACGATGATCGGAGAGGGAAATGGCTAACTCTACCTCCTTTCTCTCCCACCATCGACGCCGCCGCCGTAGGAAAGGAGCTCTCTTTCGACGATAACTCCGTCGTCAAAGGCTCAACGACGACGACGACGGCCCTTAGGTGGATTCTTCGTTGCCGCCCCGATCTACCGAGGAATCTCCTTCTGAAACTCTTCCGTTTAAGACAGGTCCGTTTGGTTCAGACAGTGTTATGTGATTTTGATTTTGAGTTTCGTTACATTGTGATAATGTGATTTCAGGTTAGGAGAGAATTGTCTGTGAGTTGTGACGGTGGTGAGATACAAAGAAGTCAGCTTAAGAGGGTAAATTGAATCTTCTTGTGTTATCTATTTTGATTGCAAAGAAGAAACCTTTTTTTAAAAAGAAATGATTTGATTTTGACACTTTGAAGGTGGGAGCTAAGGAGTCGTTGAATGTTGGAGATAGAATTTACCTTCCTTTGTCTGTTGACAATGATGCACCGCAACCGCCTGCTGCTGCTAAGAAAGAAAGGTTTCGGTGTAGTGAGGAAGAGCGCAAATTCGTTTGTAGTTTGGTCTTGTACAAGGTTTTGAAACCTCTATACACTTTTTTTTTTTTTTGAGAAATGTTATATAGACTGATGAATCATCTATGTTTACTAGGATGCAGACATTATTGTTTTGAATAAACCTCATGGTTTGGCTGTTCAAGTAAGTCATTTATACTTTCTGATGGATTTTGTTATTGGAGCTTGTGAAAAGAGATGGAGTTTTTGCTCTTGAACAGGGAGGGACAGGTGTTAAAACCAGTATTGATGAACTTGCTGCAACTTGCTTGACTTTTGATAAATCTGAATCTCCCCGGCTGGTTAGTTGAGATTTTTATAGTAATGTATTTAAAATGTACTCTGGACCGGAGATATAGTGTATGGTTTATAAAAGATTATCTGGAAGAATGTAATGGAATCTCTTGGCTTATGCAAGTTATGGTGTATGTATTTAGGTGCACAGACTTGACAGAGACTGTAGTGGACTTTTGGTGTTGGGAAGAACACAAACGGCTGCAACACTTCTTCATTCTATATTCCGCGAGAAAACATCTGGTGCATCCGCATATGTAAATCCTCTGCTTTCTCTCTGAAGTTTTTCTTACTTTTCTTGTCATATGATTCCTGAGTAATCCACATAAATTTCTCTTTCGGTGACTTTGCTTTTATTTCCCTAGGGTGTCAAAAAGAACATAAAATCCTTGAAAAGAAAGTATTTGGCACTTGTTATCGGATGTCCAAGACGTCAAAGGGGACAAATTTCAGCTCCGCTCAGAAAGGTCTGTTTACATTCTATTAGCTTGAACAACCCATCTAAGTTTTGTTCATTTTGGTTCTATCTAAGAGATGATCTGTTGCTGTACTGAGTCATATTCTAAGATAAAAACACATGTGGAATTGTCTGAGTAGGTTGTTGTGGATGATGGAAAATCTGATCGAATCACAGTTAATGACAATGGAGAACTCGTTTCTACTCAGCATGCTATCACTGAATACCGAGTGATTGAATCTTCACCACTTGGTTAGTGTCACAAACTTACTTTCTTTTATTAACTTAAAGTTAAAAATTATTTGGCCATGACTTCTTAGCACATTATATTGATTTGTAGGATATTCATGGCTGGAGCTTCGTCCTTTAACCGGCAGAAAACATCAGGTCTCTATAGATTTTCTTTTTCTATCTCAGCTTCAACTCTGTTTCTGCTCTCTTAAACAATCTGTTTTTTTTTCTGCAACAGCTTCGTGTACACTGCGCAGAAGTTCTAGGAACACCGATACTAGGGGACTATAAATACGGTTGGCAAGCTCATAAATCCCGGGAACCAGTTGTCTCTTCCGGAAACACCTTGACCAAGCAGGCATCATCATCATCGTCCCCTTTTGGCCTGGATCTTGAAGGTGGAGACGTATCTTCAAAACAGCCACACCTTCATCTCCACTCAAAGCAAATCGATCTGCCAAACATCTGTCAGCTCCTTGGGAAATTGCAGGTTTCTTCAGATTCTGATATTTCGGATCTAGATAGCCTCAAATTTGATGCTCCGTTGCCTGCTCATATGCAGCTAAGTTTTAACTTGTTGAAATCTAGAGTCGAAACTTGTGACAATTGTTAGGAGTTGTTTCATCTTTTCGTTACAAGTCTTTATGATGTGTGTTCTCGAGGTTCCTAACTACGTGTACGAATATTCTCATACAAAGATAAATCATTACATCTTAAATTTTGTTTACATGTACTTCAAATTGATTCCGTCACTATATTTGTTTTGACCGAGTATAAAAATTTCTCTAAATTAAGTTATTCATGTAAGCTATTCTTTAGTTCTTGGTCGGTGATAGCGTTATTTGAGTGGATGATTTGCATAGTTTAGATTTTAAATTGAAAATGTAAATTGATACTTACTTTAAAACAAAAAATAATAATTTAAAGTGATACTTTTTAACCAACAGAAGAGTATGGCGCTATTTGAGTGGATAAATTTGCTTAAATTTAACTTTTTTAAATTGCAAATGTAATTTGACACTTACTTTAAAACAAAAATAAAATAAAATGACACTTTTAACCTACAGAAGAGTATATGATTAGATACTTCTGAGGATATTTGACCATTTATATGATATGATGCTTTTAGTACCTTAAGCATAATTATTGTAGATTTTTCACTAGAGTTTCTCAAAAACAAACTAATAAAAAATCAAAAGTTGCATATTTACTCATAAAAATTAAAAGAAAAAAAAAATTATTTTTAGAAAATGACTTCTGTGAAAGGGATGTATACTTTTACAATACATCTTGCTGTTTAGACCTACCTCTCAATTGACCAAAACATTGTCATTGCCAAAACCAAAAGGAAGTCTTGCGATTAAACCAGCTACACCTTCAATTTTTTTTTTAATTCATGGTCAAAAGAGAGTTCATCATTTTTAAGAAACAAAAGTATTCACAATTGAGACCAGCTCTCTCAAAGTAAGACAAAGAGTTATATTTCCATGGGATTTGACAAAACAGGCTAAACAATCCTTTGGGGACATAAGAACACAATCCCAGCATCTGTGGGGTAGAAAACATTTCATTTGAGTTCCTTCCAATAGTTTCTGCAGTGAAGAGTGAAATTCTTCATACACATCATCTGAAAATATCTCATTGATCATAGTTTCCAAATTGTAGACACATTGCACCTTCACTTTGCCATTGCCTACAAAATATGTCAATTAAATGTTAAGTATAAAATTTGCAAAATGTATAGTTTAGAAAATACCATAGATATCAACAAACTAACAATTTTTGGACATGCATAAGTAAACATCTATACAAATTATTCAGTTTTGTTTGTTCTTATTCTTAAGTTGTAAAATTAGATATAAGAGGTTATGGAAAAGGAAAATATAAAAGGTTTGACTGGTGGAGTTTACCGATGAAAATGGGCATGTCTATAAAAGAAATATAGTATCTCTATTTCTCATTGTTTTTTTATCTCCATGTACGTTACTAGATATGTAAACGAGTTATTTACTTGGGATATGAAGTTTCTGATTCACAAATTTTGTAAATATAGTTTCAAAATATGTTGTTTGTAGCTTATTTTAGAGTTTGAGTTCATTATTGATTATTTGTTTTCATAAGAGGTTTGAATCTGATATGAAGTCCAGATGGAAAGACAAATTAAATTAGGCCTAATCAGATTTTTAATTTGATTAAACTCAATACACTTAGTATAAACAGGAAACTTAAATTATTTTATTCATGGAACATTGTTTAAAAATGTTTGACGTTAACAATCATGGACTCAAGTTGGTGATGTTACTATGACTATGCTATAGATTCATGGTCAGATAATCCACCTTGCGACTACGCAAGCCTGTATCATAGTCATGACATTGTTCAGAGGTGAGCATTTTGAGTTTAAAACCAAAAGAAACACAAAGAAGGTAGGAATGAACCTGATTAGCAGCGACCCAGGAATAATTAATGGCAGCTGTTCCTGTAAGAGCTGCAGCAAGAACAGTTTGACTATATCTGTCTTTGGCTGATAATTCGCTTGAAAGTAACTCGAGCTAGGTTCATCAATTACATGATCCTGATGAGTCCATCAAATCCTTTGGATCATAGATAATTAAAAACAAAACTTGAATTACAATTACCAAACATAAACAAAGACATCCGGCTTAAAGTGTTTTCTATGTTTTGAACAATTCTTCATTTCTTCTTGATAGTATTGCTTTGTGAAAATATGAATAAAAAAAAAAAAGTTTAGCAGTCTAAAATCAAGTGAGTTATATAGTTTGGTAGCAGCAATACTACACAATATCGAGGTGTGTGACAGTTTTAATCAATCTAGCAAACTACGCAAAAATATTGTTATTGACTTACCTAAAAATATTGAGATGAAAACGCATTGAATATTAGATATATCTAATGTTGTGAACTACAAGATTTAGACCTTTTTATATCACCCAAATGATCCCCAAAAAACAAACAAAAAATGGGTGAATCTTCGTAAAAGACATTTTAGTAGTTCTTCAGCAAAGAAAAAAAACGGCTCTCTCACCGATGACCAGAAGAAAAAAAAACATCCTAAGATAGTAATTTAATATCCTTGATTCATTGAGAGGATGACGTAGTGTGACCCATAATAGCAGGTGACCAGAAATCAGCGCCGTTGGAACTTTCCACGTGTACGGTGGATGAAACAGGTACTAGACATAATCCTCTGCTTCTCAGGTCTCTCACTTTCTTCCCTGCCCTAACATCTCCGGTAACAACACCACCGTCCTGACCAAATGTCACCAGCAAGTCAGAAACATCTATATATTAAACTATATAGTAATAAAATAGAGAGAAAGAAAGGGACTGACAAGAGAATAGTTGATCAGGTAAGGAGAGCATAGGACTTGAATCTGGTCTTGTAAGAATTTGATGTAACCCATCGCTTCATGCAGCACAGAAGCTGCATCTGTCTGTCAACATGATATGATGTTTTCTATCCCATTTAATTATCATCAGTCAGAAAGTCAATTTAACTATTGCATTTATAGATAAGAGTGTTGTTGTTATATTCTCTTTCACTTCTCTCAAAAAAAGTACACATATCATTAATGTAAATTGCAATGATGATCGTTATTTACCCCCAAAATAAAAGTAATTTATGGATCAAGTTTCATCGTCTTTGATGTCTTTTTGATTTTCACATTGGATGCCAGTTTACACTATACCCCAAATTGCGACTTCTTAAGCTTCCTTTTGGAAATTATATATTAAAAATTATTTTCATTACTTCTAAAAAATAGGTAGAAAAATATGAGAAAAAATCATTAGTAAAAATTAAGTTTACCTTTCCGTATGGAGAAACCAATTGCTGCAAGGCTGCAATTCTTTCTCCTAACCTTTCTTTCCTTACCTATTTTAAAAGTATTGACAAAAAAAAACCTTGAACATTATAAGTTCACAAAAAAAACTTATTAACAGTATATACAATAAACTATAATGACACACCTTTGCAGTCCCAACTGATGATTTATCCTGATTTCTCTTGCATTTCTTGCTAGGTTTTCGGTTATGATCCATAGTTTGCCCATTAACCGACCCGGTTCTCTTCTTCTTCACAAGAGAGTGATGCACACAAGAACTCAGCTTAAATATTTGATACGGACAGACACATATTGTAATTATTGACATGCAACTATGCAAGAACTAGACTTACGGTTGATGGTTTAATAGAATGACTGTCTGCACATGCGTCGTTCAAGTTCTTGCAAGTGTAAGTAGTGCATGAAGGGTCAGAAACAGAGATTCCGTGGGGAAGAGAAGGTTGTAGGAAGAGTGATTCGTCGTCGTTTTGATAGTCTCCACTGAAACAGAGCATTTTTGACCCATTTGCACCGGAGAATACAAAACCAAAGCCGTCTTCTCTGCCATCGGCGCTAGTATGTTCAAGCTGGGGGTTAGAGGAGCTGAGAACGCCGCCCGACAACATAAGAAGCTCCGAGAAGCTCGAGACTCCGGCAGTTTCCATCATAGCATCCTCTGTGGTATCTCCCATTGTGATTGTTCTTAATTATTATTATTACTTGTACCTTTTTGGAAGAAGCTAAAAGAGAAGGTGAGAGACAAGAAGCAGAAGAGAAGTGATGCTAAAATGGTTTCTCACTAGCTTTCTAGGCTTTTATAACTGGTTTAACTTTCCTATGAAAATTATTGTTTTTGTTTTTATAAATAAACCTTGTGAAAATTCTAAACAGGAAAATTTCACACGAATCATATAATTATATAATATTTTTCTTGGTAAGTGTAATACAAATTGTATTTCTGAATGAAAGAAGAATATGATAACTTTATCACTATAATATTATTTGAGAAGTAATTTTCTACGTGTCGCACTCAATTTAACTCTTGTAATTAAACCCTTAATGAATTAAAAATATTAAATAAGATTGATATTAATAATGTATTTCTTTTTTTCATAATAAGATTTTTCTTAATTTTTTTAATTTAAGTTTACATTTTTAAAACACATAAATAAAAATAGAAATATTTATGAAATAGAAATCTTATATATAAACAAACTTTAATAATTTTTTTTAAAAAAAAATTCCTAAGATAAAATATTTAGCATTTATTTAAGAGATATTAAAAAGAAAACGAAAAATATTTTTTACAAAAATAATTATTTTGATCCAATCATTTCAAAATCTTTTAAATAGCGTAGCATTATACACTATTAATGAAATGAAAATATTATATTTATTATTATTAAAAATTATTTTTAATATTTAGTTTGCTTTTTAATTTTATGTCTTTTATGTTTGTGGAATTTAGTATATAAATAATAAAAATATTCAAGTAAATCTAAATTCTCATTTTTAAGATTGTTTAAAATCCGTTTCAGTTTATCTTTTAAGAAATCTAAGGCATAAAATAATTTAGAATTTATAAATATTTAATTATTCAAAATATTAATATGTGTTCATGAAATTTCAAAAATTTATCTTTATACTCATATTTATGTATGTAAATTCCTATCGATCGTCACTTTATTTTTTAATATTTCTTAAAAAACAACATATATTCAATTATTAAAATTATTATAAAATACTTGCATTAAACGGTAAGTAAAACTAATTTGATTTGATTTAATTAGAATAAAAAATAATTATATTTTCATTTGAATTAGAAAAATACGTATAACTCAATATACTCACAAACGAGTAACGGAACGGATCTAACTT